CACTGATCTTTCACTCTACCCTTCAGTGCAGTCTGGATCGCAGGCATTGTATCCTCACAGCAGTCAGCAAAATCACAACGATCATCATGGCCAACATAATCATCATCCACAACATCAACTTCAGCACCATATTCTCTCCCCCCTTTTGTCCCAGCATGGCCCCGTGGGCACCGAATCTTCCACTCTTATTCTCTCTGAACGCGCTAGTGCAATGAATGAACAGGCGACATCACATCAAATCTACTTGAGCCGAGTCGATCTCGCTTGCCCATCACCCTCCTCTTCCCCCGTCTCTAACACCACAATCACTCAATCAGAAACCACATCTAATTGTTCTCTGCCTCTTCCAGCATCTGTTAGTCCGGTTTCAATAACTTCATCGATAGCACAACCCAGTTCATCCCTGACTTCGGTTAAAGTAATCAGTCAATCGGGATCACACGACATAGCTAGTTTTGATGGGTTGCCTGTTACCCACCCTCCCTTAATCGAATTTACTACCCATCAACAGCATCGCCGATCACAACAACATAATCCTACTCAACACTCAGCGCCCCGACTTCATCTCAATCACTCGATCCAGTCTCAGCAAGTCCCTTCTACTCTTCCAACACCATCGCAGCAGCTTCAATCTGCATCTTTATTGCATTTACAGTCTTCCTCATTGATTCAACAATATTCGCATGCGCCATCTTACCTTTGCTCTGGGGCTCTACAGAGCCCGGCCAGTTTTTCTTCTCACATGCTCCCTCACCATTCCACTCATTCAGTTGTCGGTCCTCTACCTCAGAACACTCAGACGCATCTCCTCTCCTGCCAGGCTCTGTCTTTTGCCACATCTTCAGCTCAGCACCACATTTCAAGTCCGATTACGCAACTTCCTCCATCACCTACTTTGTCCATGTCACCCTCCCCTTCTACTTCACCTTCCGTTTCCCCTTCACCAGTTGCTTCTGGTCCGCAGGTATCTAAGTTGGCTTCACGTTCTACGCCACGCCCTGTGAGCAGTGACGGTGTCAATTCCAGTACACATGGGGCTCCGCTGTAGCACATTAACACATACATCTCAATTACTCCGCCACATTTATGTATTTATTAGAGCTTGGGTAGCTAATATGGTTCGTCCTTACTACATAAACTAAGGAAAATATATAGACTGCAAATAATCAAATAGAATACCTCAGCAATAAGAGGCATCATTTTTTCTAGTGAGGCAAAGTGGGATCACGATTTCGAGAAAACTGATAAACAGGGCTGTGAAGTTTATGGGTCCCGGCCTATAAGTTACACCAATTTTTCTCTAGAATAGTCATTTAGTAGGCTTAACATGTTGCAATCAAGCTATTAAGAATCATTCTTCTTCTTTGTTTCATACACACTAATTTTTCAGACACAATTCATTTGGCTTGTCCCATTTTACGGTTTCTGCTTGTATATACATGCATGCGCATCAGGATTGTTCGAAATTATAATCATGTATTGTTAAATTCTTACTCGCTTTGGAGATGTATTTGCATGCCCTTCTATGCACATTTTTTTCAATTTAAAAATCGCTGGCCTATTTGCCTCATTTTTGGCGCCAAAGACCTCCATTTGTTGTGCTCTAAAAATGTGCCGCACATGGCATTTTAATAACTGACTCCTGAATACAGATTTGTATTTTGAGAAGTATCGTTTACTCCTTCCACTTTTAAACTATCCCTTTCTTATATATACATATTCTTCATTTATTTTTTAAAATTTTTTGGTCTACTTATTTGTATTATTAATTGCTTCTTGCATTATTCACATTGGCCCAGCGTGGGCCCGACACTTACCCTCAATATATATTCATCACTGGTTTGAATAAATCTAGGAAAAGCTGGATTGAACGAAATTCTATAACGAAGGCAAGCCGTTCCAAAAAGACGGCTTAATTTTGATAGACGATTCGTTCTAATTAATGCAGAAATATTTTTATTTACAATTTCATATCAATTATCCTTTTATTTATCTGCCTAATAAATTCACAATATCGAATTTGTGGCCTTATGAACTGATGGTGATCGGAGTTATGCTTATTTTGAACATCAGCAAAGTTGACTTGGAAAGGGCTAAATGTTGATGAAAAAGCATTGATTATTAAAGATTATGGTGTTTTCCTGACAATATTATTGAATTCTTCTCAAGCTCGTCATTTATCCAAAAAGTTATTACCAATGAACTTCATAATGGTCCATTAGGTTAAATCCAGCATCTATCGTTTTCTATCAACACTACCTAATCTTGGCTCATCGTTTATGGCCTGCATAAGCACAGTACTGTGAAGTAACTTACAGCTTTGATGGTACTTTTTTGTTCCTGATTGTCCTTTTCTTTTGGGGATCATATATCCTTTCTACTCATTTTTTTTCTGTTCTCACTATACTTGATTATTCTATTAGTCTGTCAGTTGGATCAATAGTAGGACATTTTTATCATAAGTAATGATTATTCTCTCATGACATTTCCCTCAAGAATGGTAGATAATGAATCATACAAAAAGTTCTTAAAAGCTTCTCGGCCTTTAGAATACTTTGTCTATTTAACTGATCATAGGGGTTCGCATTTTCTTTATTGTGAAATAATATCTAGGAAATAAGATTCATTTGGCACGAAAGATAATGCCTATGAAAACATAAAAAAGTAAATGATGTAATCTATTTTTATAGCAAATATGACTGCTTCAGCGACAATCCCACCAAAGTATGTGAACTGGGAAAATGCCTGGCATTCCCTGAAATTCACACCTACCTTGTGACCCAAGAGTACTCGTGGCAATGTGGTTGAGTGGTTAACGTGTCAAGTTCACATGTTGCATTTTCACGGTTCGACTCCAACTGGGGGTGTTGATAAGACCTATGCGAGGTCGAAACTGCAGTCCACTCCAGACGGGATTAGAACAACTTTTGGGAAAGCAAGACCATGTGAAATTCAATGGAAAGGTCAGCTCTACTCATATCGTTGTGGGAAAATTCTAATACCAGTCCTTCATCACTTTAAACAAAATAAAGTGAGTACATTTCATGTAAATATATATATACTTTCCTATGATATGGCGCTGATTACCATTCACCTATATCTATGCATGCTTGGGTTATTCAACTATAATATAAAATTTCCGTGTTATTAAATTTTCATTCGATAATTTAACGCAGTGATGAATATCAAACTTTGCTCTACCTATGCAGTGTTGCTACAGTATACCTTGTCAACGTTATGTTTAATTATAAGGAGTACTAGGGAGAGCAGATACAATTTCTTCATGATTTATTACTCGTGACTATGATTCCCTATGAAAGGGTTTAGGCGCCTCAATTTTAAGCATAGTTTAATCTTTCCTATTTAATCAAGTTTTGTTCACAGTGGTAGCATAATAATGAACTTCATTAAATGCTAGTATGTTGCGAATGACAAGGCAAAGAAAAAAGCCTTTCATGTTGCGTTGATAGACGCGTTAAAAGTGTTGATTTTTCTTTCATGGCCACCCGAATATTCCATTTCCTCAATATTGGCCGGAGTTTTTGAGTTAGTTTGCAGGAAGGTAAGCATATCCACTTTTCTGAATTCTTCATCGTCCTTTATGTTCTTTCATAGTCCCTGTTCTGCAATCGATTTTCACGGCCCGCATGTTTCTTTGTATTACTTCGCTTGGGTAGCCGTTGCCAAGAGATATCTTAGTCAATTTGTCCAGCTCTTT